ATTAGATTGCAAAAGAAATCGAACGAATATGATGACAAAAGAAGTCGAACGAATATAATATAGATGACAAAAAGAAGTCGAACGAATATAATATAGATGGCAAAAAGACGTCGAACGGATTTAATATAGATTGCAAAAAAATCGAACGAATATAATATAGATGACAAAAGAAGTCGAACGAATATAATATAGATGACAAAAGAAGTCGAACGAATATAATATAACGAATATAATATAGATGGCAAAAAAAGACGTCGAACGGATTTAACATAGATTGCAAAAAGTCGAACGAATATAATATAGATGACGAACGAATATAATATAGATGACAAAAAACGTCGAACGTTTAATATAGATGAAAAGATAACGAATAGATGAGAAAAAGAAGTCGAACGAATATAATATAGATGACAAAAGAAGTCGAACGAAAAATATAGATGGCGACGTCGAACGGATTTAACATAGATTGCAAAAGAAGTCGAACGAATATAATATAGATGACAAAAGAAGTCGAACGAATATAATATAGATGACAAAAGAAGTCGAACGAATATAATATAGATGGCAAAAGACGTCGAACGAATATAATATAGAAATGAACGAATATAATATAGATGACAAAACGAACGAAAAGATAATATAATATAGATGACAAAAAGAAGTCGAACGAATATAATATAGATGGCAAAAAAGAAACGGATTTAACATAGATTGCAAAAGAAGTCGAACGAATATAATATAGATGACAAAAGAAGTCGAACGAATATAATATAGATGGCAAAAGAAGTCGAACGAATATAATATAGATGACAAAAGAAGTCGAACGAATATAATATAGATGGCAAAAGACGTCGAACGGATTTAACATAGATTGCAAAAGAAGTCGAACGAATATAATATAGATGACAAAAGAAGTCGAACGAATATAATATAGATGACAAAAGAAGTCGAACGAATATAATATAGATGGCAAAAGACGTCGAACGGATTTAACATAGATTGCAAAAGACGAATAATAATATAGATGAGAAGTCAAAATATAATATAGATGACAAAAGAAGTCGGACGAATATAATATAGATAGCAAAATAAGTCGAACGGATTTAACATAGAGTGCAAAAGAGGCCGAACGGATTTAACATAGAGTGCAAAAGAGGCCGAACGGATTTAACATAGATGGCAAAAGAAGTCGAACGAATATATTATAGATGGCAAAAGAAGCCGAACGGATTTCCCAGAGTGCAAAAAATGTCGAACGAATATAATATAGATGGCAAAAGAAGTCGAACGAATTTAACATAGATGACAAAAGAAGTTGAACGAATATAATATAGATGGCAAAAGAAGTCGAACGGCTTTAACAGAGTGCAAAAGAAGTCGAACGAATATAATATACATGGCAAAAGAAGTTGAACGGATTTAACATAGATGGCAAAAGAAGTCGAACGGTTTTAAAATAGATGAAAAAAAGTCGAATGGATTTAACATAGATAGCAAAAGAAGTCGAACTAATATAATATAGACGGCAAAAGAATTCCAAAGGATTTAACACAGATGGCAAAAGAACTCCAGGGAAAGAGTGAGCAAACAAATTACCGAGTTCGAGTTTACTGATGGCAGAATAAAGTCTAGAGTTTTAGTAAAATATCAAGATGTTCTATAGGTGGCCTGACGTATCCACTTATGCCTATCGCTGAGATTGACTACCTAAATCTTTCCGCAAACACTTGCTCAGACATATATGTGGCTTATGCTTATGACATTTCTGAGTCAGTGAGTGAGAGACAGAGAGACAGAGAGAGGGAGAATGAGAAAATAATCTGGTGTGATGAGCAGTTGGAATAGGGCCAATATGACTTAAAACTTCTTTCTAGCACAACAACCAACGTGCTTTCTGGGAAGTTTCGTCTACCCACTTTCAATCACAAGGCTTGTCTGAAAATTGGATATGGTTTTTAGGGATCTCCCAAACGTTCAGAACGCTAGTATTAACACACTGCGGGATATTCTCATGAAGTAACTCTTTCACTTCTCAAACTGAAAGAAAGGAAACTGGAATTGTTATTTGATGCTGGTTGAGTGGTATGTATTATTTAACCCGCAGCTCGGCCGGTAAGCTTCAGTGTTAAAAAGTCACCTAAAAGTCACTTAGCAATAAATCCCCTCTTTGACAAGTAGTCGTTCGTGAGATTTGAAAGGGGATACCAAAGAACGCTAGTGTTTTTACCACGAGCTAATGATTGGAAATTGATCAGAGCCATTATTGCCATTGTTTTGAAGAGACACGAACAGTGGGAAGATTGAGTAAAGGACAAAATAAACGGAATTAAAGAAGGCAAAAGATGACAATTGATGTTGAATTCGAATTGTTGAGCTCTTAGTTATCAGTGAAGCCAATAAACGGAAGAGTTCCACAGGTTTTAAGTGCGAGAAAAGAAACTGTCAGTGCCAGTTGAATTTAGCTATTTCAACAGTAAAATGGTTGTATATTGATGCCAAATTAGTAGCACGCTTAAATTCGTGTAGAAAAAAATCTCTGAAGAGCAGATACCATAAAACCATTTGTAGAAAAGACAGAGGGAAGCCACCTCACGTTGGTGAGAAATTAACTGGGGTCTTGTCTTCGCGACGAGTTTTCTAATAAAACTTTTCTTGGTTCTTATTTCTTTTATTTGCCTTGACACTTTAGAATGTAGGCGATCACGGCTCTCAACTTACTCCTATCCCCTTGTAGTTCTTAATATGACCTTTTGCTACTTCTCCCAGACCCTGTTCTGCCACCCACTTGCTTAAGGCCACTAAGTATGTCAGGCGTTGCTTTCCCTTATCTCTCTTTCCCTCTATCGACCCTGTGAGTATCAGATTTTCTAAGCCCCCTTGCTTATTACATGTCCCAGTAATTTCAGTTGCCTCTTCCTGATGTTAAGTATAAGCTTCCTTTTTGCTTTCATCCTCTCCAAAACCTTATCACTGCTCACATGTTCAGTCCAGGCTATTCTTAGCATCCTTCTGTAGAACAATTTTCGAGTCTCTTCATCTTCAGGAGACCGCCCAACATTCGCTGCCGTAAAGGAGGACAGATATCATATAGAAGTTCAGTACTCTTTTCTTGGTTACTAACGAAATTCTTCTGTTTCGTAATACTTTGTCTAGACGTTGGAATGCGTTTTTGGCCATCCCAATATATTTTCGTATTTTAGCGTCGCACTTACCGTCCTCTATCAGAACAATTCCCTGTCAATTAAATTTCCCCATCTGTTTGATGTTTGTGTCCCCGACCTGTAAATCGCATTTCGGGCTCATCTTTTTACTGGCGACCATGTATTCTGTGTTTTTGCTGTCTAAACTTGGTCCCTTCTTATCGCTCTCCTTTGCTACACTCTGTAGAGGGTTTTGTCATTTTTTTTTCTGTATCTTTCTATCAGTACTGTGTCATCTGCGTATCTTACGTTCTTAAGATTGTGGCTTCAAATGAATCCTGTTAGGCCTTCTAGTTCTCTCAGAATTGCCTAACTGATGTTGAATAAGTCACCTGAGAAGACACATATACTTGTTAAAAGCTCGGCCTCAATGTCTCCTTATCTCTTTCTCTCTCTCTCTTTGATTTTACATTTCGTTTTTTTTCTGCTCTAATTTTCTTGTTGCTTTCATTGATATGAACGTGTTTTCGTCTTTCTTCAAATTGCGTTATTTCAGACTTTTGTCCTCCTTGCTTTATATATCGCTTTCTCATTCTCAGCATTCATGTTATCCATTTGTCTCCTTTTCTTAATAACACGTCGGTTTCCAGATAACCAGATCTCCTAATCCCGCAACGAAACAGTTAGGGTCTTTGCTGCAAAAAATAAATATCCTTTTAATTTTGTTCCGCTTTAACTGTAATATTATCTTCTTCGGTTTCCGTCAGCCTATGAATACACAAAACAAGTTCAAGCTCAAGTAATTATTTTTAAGTTATTTGAAGCAAATTCTTATCCTTATGGGATTGTTTTATTGTTATTCTTTTTACAAATTATTGTTTTTTTTTCCCACTATCGTTCGCCGAAATCTAAGCCCAAGAGCCATTCAAAATCAGCAGTTAGTTAAAAAAGGTTGATATATATATATATATATATATATATATATATATATATATATATATATATATATATAACAGGATGGTGCTACGAATTAACTTACGAGGATGTTATGATGTTGATTTGGGGTTAATAAAGACAAACGCCAAATAACACGTAACATTAAAAAGGGGTTTATTAGGTTGGTAAGTAGGTACAGAAATCGCCTGAGTCGTCTATAACTAGCTCAGCCAAGAACTTCTCTGTCTTCTGACATGCCACTATTTAACGTCTTTGTTTGTAGACAAGTTCATCTTCAAGAGGGGTGGTAGGTTTCCTACACAACAAAGGATAAGTTGGATTACTTATGGTTGATCCTAAACTGTAGATGTTAAGATTGTAGTGATCGGGGAAGCAACACATCGGGAGACTCTTCTCACCATCTCTTCCTTATGACACGACCGAATGAAACCTCCTTCTTATTTATAATATAAGAACTGAATGTGCGAACCTGCGCCTATAGCATGGAGGATCGAATGTGTAATGTTCTAAACTAGCGAAACTAATAACTACAGCCTGTCAAAATATTTACTGTGAAAATAACGATAAACGTAGCGAAATATGGAACTTTTTTATGGGATGTAGGATGAAAACAATTCTTCACCCAGAAGGCATATATATATATATATATATATATATATATATATATATATATGTGTGTGTGTGTGTGTGTGTGTGTGTATATATATGTGTGTGTGTGTGTGTGAAAAGTGTGTATATATATATATATATATATATATATATATATATATATATATATATATATATATATATATATATATATATATATATATATATATTATATGGTGCTTATCAGAAAGCGCTCAATATCAGATATATATATATGCATTCTGACCATGAGACCCGGGTTCGAATCTCAGCATG